TACATATAAAACTATAAGTAAAGGAAAGAGGATAATGTCCTAAAAATGTGCATTAACATTAGAATTTGAATAATAGCTAATAATTAGGAAACACTATCTGCTGCTAAGAATACAGACTATATATTTTGATGAAAAACACTAAAAAAAAGGCTAATAAAGTATATTTTTCTCAATATTTCTCCGTTTTATTTCTAGCACAAAAATTCACACAAATAGAAGCTCTGTATGTTTATATATGTCAAAGACAGCATCAAAGGCCAATGAACGGAAACTCATGAGTTACAGAAAGGAAATTTTGGAAAATCTATTTCTTTTATTCTGACATTTGATTTTTATGTCTCAATTCATGTTCCATGCTGCCATTTGAAAATTTCCTTGTTCCTCTCGTCAAGACTGTTTTCACTTATTTCATTTGTCTCAGTTCTGATTACAAAGTAGATAACATTTTTATATTGCCAGACATAAATTTAAAGCCATCTAGAAATAAAACCTAATAGACACTGTACTTAAATAATGACAAAATGATACGTTATCTCATAAACAAAATGTCTGAGTAACTCAAAATTTGAGTATTCTAAACCAAAAGATATTTCTCATCACATAACATGCTAAAATATAAAAGTAAAGCAGGAATACATTGTTTTATGATGCATGCCTCTGCTAAAATATATAATTTAGCTTCACATTTTATGAAAATATTAAAAATAACTTTTCAAGAATTATGGAACTTGTAACTCACAGAAGTCACTCACCTCTATAAGTCGATCTCCTGCCTTAAGTCGGCCATCTTGGATGGCAGCCCCTCTGGGGAGGATGTTTTTCACATAAATTGGAGCTGAGCCACCTATTGTTACATCTCGGGAAGTGATGCTGAATCCCAAACCTTCTGTACCTAAACATATAGCAGAAAAAAAAATCAGTAAATAAAATGAGACATCTTGAACTTTACAGGTGTATCATACATAAAGGATTGGTTATTACTTTCTACATCAACTTTCATAATGGCCTACATTTCTTTTAATATGTTAAAAGTTGTAATAGATTTTTCAAAATAGACTAAGTTCTGAAAGGTTTAAATATCAAAATTCATTAATCTGAGAAGAAATGGGAATCTACTCCAATACAGATAGATGAAAGGTAATATACAAACATACAAATGTGCTTGCTAAAAGTTTTTAAATGTCTAAATTTTTTATTATAAAAATTAGTTCTCTATGACAAAAAAGTTCTGTTAAAACCCATAGTACCTCAAATATCAAGTATTGTTGTGCAATAATCATATCTAGATTTGACAGGTAGGTGGTGGAGCAAAGAGAGAAAATGTTCAGGGAGATGGAAAATAGTCACAGCAATTCACTGACAGGATGAATGATAGTATCTTTGCCTAGTTCTCTTCTAACTCTATCCTAAATATGACCATGTATATTTCTCAAAAGGGGGAGTGGGGGGGGAGAGGTAAATTACCCAGTGAAGAACCCATGACAGATTATAGCTACCAAGACTGAGGATCATCATATCATATTTATAGGTACTGAAATTAATGAGGAATTTATAAATTACTGCGCTGGTTTAATTTAAATTCTAAGCTCGTTGGCAGCTTTCTTGACAGGCACTCTTATACACTTAATACAGTGTAGAAAAAGGTTATGTGTCACTAGAACCAACATGCAATAAGCCAAAATGAGCCAAGAAAAAATGTGAAGATAATGACAAATTTCTAATGAATCACAGAATTTTTATAACACTTCTAACAACGATTAATTTCTACTAGAGCTTTTCAAAAAGTTACTTAAGATATCAGGTTCCGTTTCAGTTAAAATGGTATTAGGACCAATACTTGCCCATTATGGAAGGAATAAAGAGATAGGTAAAGCAAAAAAATCTACAGAAGAATACATTAATTTGATGCAGCACTCCGTACAAAACTATAAGCACAAGTAGAATGCTATAAGTAAACAAACAAATACAGGCAAATAAACATGAGCAAAAAAGTGGGTTAAAGAAAAAAAAAGTAGAAATAAAGAAAACACTTCATAATTACATCTACAACAAAACCTACTGTAAATCTTCTCATGTTCAAACAAAACATTCATTTCCTAGAAGTCTAAAGTCACATGAAGGTGCCGGACTGAAATCTTCTAAGTAAAGATTTGAATTGCATATTGTCTATATAAAATTTTCCTAATTATTCTGCGGGGATTTTTCCATATGTCTCTGTGCTTTCATGAAACTCAAGTGACTTGCAATAACATTTATTAAGAAAGACTTCTAAATTATTCTCCTTTTGCAGTATTAATTTGTATGAACTATAAAGACTGTTATATGAACCTTCCTACTATTAAAATATCAGCAGTTACCCCTAAATCTGTAAGCTAAAAGTTCAGGCAATGACCTTTAAAAGAAAGATAAATAGATATCAATTTTCATTTAGCAAAGCCAACAAAACATTTTGCAGTGACTGAAACAGATTACTGACCTTCTCCTCTGACTTTATTTAAAAAGCTAATTTCTACAAAAGAGTAGAGTATTTGAAAATGCCAGACTGGCAATAAATATTAAGAAATCATAATTATGGAAGTACACAGGGGCTACTATATTTTGTAATGTTTTATGACATAGTTCCAAAATTATGCCAAAGAATCATTATAATGAAGGCTTCTCTTTTTAAGTACTTAGAATTGATCTCAGTTTATGAAGAGCTTCTGTCAAAGCATGTCAGTTCACTTTGAACTCAATTTAAAGTTTAACATTGAAATACCCTCTTTTTTTTTGAAGATTTTATTGGGGAATTGAGGGAGGGGAACAGCACTGGGGAATCGGGGAAGGGGAACAGACAAGTTGCTGTCCTTTTGTTCTTCAGTCTGGTTGTGGAGGATGTCGCTTCACTGGCCCAGGTTGGTATTATCATTGCACTTTTCCCCGGTTAGGCAGTTGCTTGCCGGCCATTGGACGGCTGCTCACGCCAGCTCATGCTGAATGCCAACCACTCACAGCAGCTCATGGCAGCCCACTGCAGCAGGGGCTGCAGCCTACGTCATCGCTGGCGACTCAAGGCAGCCCAGCTCCAGGTCGAGCTGTTGTTCACCATCTTAGCTGTAGAGGGCGCAGTGTCACTGACCCTAATGTGGAATCCGAACTGGGTCCTTGCTGCTCAGAGCCAGTGTCCCAAGCCAGCTCTTCACTAATGAGTCACTTGGCCGGCCCATAAATACCCTATATTTTTTATGTACTTCATTAAAAATGTTAAATGTAACATAATTGGGGAAAGTATATGTTAACTACAATGAAAGCTTGTTCAATTCTCATACAGTCATTATTAAAAATAGCTGTATTTAGTAGTAATCAAAGATAATCAGTATTCTTCACTCTTACTTATAGCAAACAATTTATTTTTATGTTTGTAAGTATTGTCAGGAAAGCACAGGCAGTTTCTACCTTTTGTCATACATTCTCACAGCTAGTAAATTAAAATCAAGATAGATCTATGAGACTATCATTTAGATTACTCAAGATCAGAAAAATGTTTGAAACAAAATCATTGTTTCTATTTTTCTTATGTTGACTGAGTGCAGTCCTTCTAAATTAGCTTGTTGGAAAATGTAATAGCTTTTAAATGCTATTAAAGTAAAACTGTTAGTTTCTATATTAAAAAAAATGATTCTTTTAATGGCAAATAAAATTTCACTTTGCTTAAAAAGTTCATATTGTAGCATTAAGTTGCTAAAATAATTGTGTCAAAAACTGTAATAAACTAAATAAATATGCCTGTATCTGTGTAAAAAAGCAAAGAAACTTATGAACTAATATCTTTATGACAATGGCCAATAAAATATTTTTCCTTTGTTGAGAAACCTCAAGCAGAATTTTATCTTTTATACAACTCTATTTGTGATTCTTGATAAATTTTTGCTTAAAAGCTAGGGCCTGAGTAGAGAAAAAGGAAGAAAGAGATCTGATATTTCGCTCATTAGGAATTAACAGAGCTAAGAGGGTTTTATGCTGTGTTTGTAATGGGTTTCATGTCAATTTCTGATCATGTCAACCAAGTATTTGGAGGTTAAAAGCGAGTAACCAGAAATAAGGAATTTGTGGTTCACATAAAGTTCAATGTAAGAATATTATTTAGAAAGGAAATAGGGATCTCAGAGTTTACAAGCTTGTAAACCCTACCCCAAATGGAAAGAAAATGGTCTAAATGTCAGGATATGGAATATGTTCTAGTAAGAATCTGCTGCCAACAGCAGCCATGTGACTTGAGGAAATCACTCGCCCTCTCTTGGGTTCATTTCTATCTAACTGTAGGAACTGGCTGAGCTCATAAAAAGAGAAAAATATTCTTATAATGACACCATTATGAAGGACACAATTTAAAAATATATCAAAATGATCAGCTAAAATAGATAATTAATAGCAAAAGTGTATCTCAGGGCCAGGAGAGGACAGCAGTTGGAAATCAGAAAGTCAAGTCTACCATCGACTCTGAATCATAGGGAAAGCCAAAATGGAAAACTGCTTCCTGTACACAAGGATCCATCGTCTCCAGAAAGGAAATACTTAAAGAAATAAGCTGATATAAAGTGGATGCAGTAAAGAATTAGCAAGGCCCATTACAGTCCCCCTTGTCACCTTAAGAAAGGGAAACAATGGAATATTCTGGAACAATGGCCTACTTTCCCAATTCTACCAGGAGCCACTCAAAGGAATCAATCGCTTCCCACCACCAAAATGGTGGGGTTGACATGGAAGACCTCTAAAGGCCTCTTTGAGGGCTGTATTTGAACACCAAGTGGACCGATCAAAACAGTCAAATCCTCACTGTTGTTTTGGGTTTGAATACAGCATCCTGAAACCACTTTCCTCTGTCATTAATAATTTTACTTCAGTAGTAACTGCTACCTTCATCACGTAAACTTATTTTTTAAAGCCTGACTCTCTGAACATTTTAATTTTTATATAGCAAAATGAATCTAAAAAGCATAAAAAATACATTTTAAATATTAAAAAAAACATTATTACATCATTTATTTGACATAATGGGATGAAACTTAGGGTGCTCTGGGTTAGTAGGTTGACTTTTACAATAAATTTCATCAAACAAAAACAAGGTAGGTCGTACCTTTCTTAAGCTGGATATTAAGTCTCTTGCCTATTTTTTTGGTGTTATAACCACCGCTTACATTTGTACTAAATACACTGGGTGGTGCTGGGGCCGGAGCTGAAGGCGGTTTTCCGGAGGGCTGTGTGCTCTGAGGTAGTCGTGGGTGAGGGTCGACCTGCTCGGCCGGGTGGGCCACTCTGGGCATTCTCTGAAGGGCCTGAAGCCCTGCACTGTTCACACCCCTGGGATCAGCATACTGACTGTCAGGGCTGAAGCGGCTCGAATAGTAATTGTTCTTCTCACTTTGGGAGAGTTGTTCATATTGCTCCTTATTTGCTGCAGGAACCACATGGAACCAAATGATGGGCGTACGCATGGCTTGGCGAAACATATGTTGTGCTCTGGGTTTGAGAAAGAATGGGAAATTAGCAAATTAAGACTGGCAGCCTAGAAGATATTATGAGCTTAACTGAGGATAATAATTAAGCAATAAGAACTGACAGATTTTTTTGAAACCAAAAAACAAAATTCTAATATCCCATTTATCAATCAAGTTTGCAAGCTCTGATAAAAGCAGAGCTGTTTCTCCAAATAGAAATTTCTTCTTCTCTAAATAAAAATGACAAAATTATCACAACTACCGTTACAATGCTGTGCTCTCCACTGTAAATCATTAAATAATAGTTTTAAGCACCACTGAGGTATTAATTTCACTATTAACAGAAATTAAATACAACCTTCTCTCTACAACATTATCCACCACTTTTAAAAATTAACAAAATAGTTTCTTTCAAGTAGACCATTTGAGTTTTGGAGAAATAAATCTATGATAAATACACTTAAAAAACAATAGCAAGCATCTACTCATTATTTATCAGCAAAATTAATTCAAGTCTGTGTGTATAAAAAGCTCAAGAACACCCATATGGCCTCAATGACTCAAAATGTTAGGGGCTATCGATTCAGTACTATTTTTCCGTGACCAGCCTGAGGAGCCTCTCCATCTCGTGCTGGTTCCCTAGTCCTTACGATGTCTGCTCACTCCTGCCTAGTTTTATAAAAACCGAATAACTTTTAACTTTTTAACTGAATAGGACCTGAATCATGATAAAGAAAGGCTGTGCAGATCACAACACTGTGGTTCAAAGGGGCTTTCTGTGCTTACTTGTACTGAGAGACATTATATGCAACGAAGTTGGAAACGCGAGTTAAAGTATAATACAAGCTAGCATCCTGGTGGATTTTCCAAAAAGTGAGAAAGGAGCAAAACTGTAAAGCCTAAATTAGGCCCATAGTATTTTAAGAAGCACTCTACCAATCACAGATCATTTTGAAATATAGTCTAATGGTAGTAATTACCTGGAGTCTGATTAAATGTTTAAAAGCTAGATAATGGCAGAAAACACTCCTCTCCAGTATGAAGACAGAGATCACAGACATGTTGTGGGAAGCATTTCAACTGCCTGCACTCGATTATGGCGAAAGCACGAGAGAGAGCACAGCAGTGCCACCCGCACGCACTTACTGTTCAAATCTTCGGTTTCGAAGGTCGCCATCATTAATCCTGACAATGCAATCATTCTCATGAAAAAGGTTTTCTTGTTCAGCTTTACCACCTTTCTCCAATCGTTTTACTAATAACCCCAGGGTTCTGGAACATTAAGAATGCAAATCATTACACATGTAATATTCCCACCATGCACAATGCCCTACTGCTTTAATGCTGGTTTTATATTTACAAAGACTTCCTAATAAAGGGGTGCATTAAATCACTATTTATACATTTTTAAAATAACACCACAGAAAAAATCAAAATAGTGTAAATGATGTGCAGCAATGGATTCTTTCAAAACATAAGAAATCGTTTCTGGCTTCTCAGCATTACGTTTCTGAAACAAGCCGTATATGTCTCTCTATGCTTAAAAATGCTTCAAACAGAGCTTGCCTGATGGCTCAGTGGATATCGCCGTGTGGCGCATGGATGAACATGTATTTACGAAGAGCTCAGGCAGGCTTCTGCTTTCAGCCAGCTGGTACACTGCTGGCGGCAGCCCGCACCTTCCCATAAAAGCACAGGTAAGGAGGGACGCCACCGCAGCACGTTGTACATTAGAGGAGCAAACTGGGGACGATCTCAAAAATAGAAGAATTTCCATTCTTAGCACCTGAGTTTAATAGTGCCTCACTGTCTGAATTTCAAAACTTGTCAGATCTCCCAAAAGTAAGTAATTTGTTGCCATTATTCCCACTTGAAGAAAAATAGCAGAAAACTAGTGACAGGTTCAAATAATGCCAGTTAACAGTTCTCTCTTCAGTGTGTACTCAGCTTCAGGTTGAAAGAAAAACCTGAATGAACTTTTAGAGACAAATACGGAGGGGGAAAGGTAAAAATTACTAGTGGACATGGTCTAGAACACTATTTGACTGACAGGAAGGATATTCTTCACTCCCAGGGACAAACAGCAAACACCTTTTATGATCATAGTATAAGGAACATCAATCTTTACCTAGTTCTAATGCTGGGATTTACTTGATGGTTAGCATTAATTCTGTATCATCATGATAAAATTTTTCTAAACTTATTTTTGACCTGTCCAAAGTTTGCATTCTCTTTCATAATCCTCATATTTAGAGGGGGAAAAAAATGCCCATATAGATACTATAACGTAGAATCCAGCATAAATTAAAGGTCAAGATACCATAATTTCCAACAGCCCATACAGAGTATTTTCCAATGTCATACGTACAATTTGCAGTTCCCTATCTATGTTTTCCAGTGGACAGATACCCAAATCGTTTCTTTTACAGTAATTGTTGTTATCTGCTCTGTGGCCATTTATCTCACTCCCCTGTTATTTAATGATAGACACACCTTATCTCTACTATTGCATTGTAAGCTCCTGGAAGATAGAGAAGACGGGGTTCAGCCATACGTGCTCAAGCACTTAGCTAGTAGTAACATCTTGATAAATGACTGAATGAATGGATGATTGAGTTTAGCTGAGGCAAACAAGTCTCATATTTCTAATATGCTTTTTACAAAATACAAGGGAAATGAAATTTAGATTCAGATTCTTTTTTCCATGAAGGTGTCATTTATACCAAATATATGACTGACCTGAAACAAATTGAATTGAGGCAAAGGTCCTTTTTCACTTCTTATTTTGCAGTTTAATCTTATTTCTTTCATAAATATTTATAGAGTCATCATTTAACTTCATTCTAATTTTTATTATTAAATACAGCAAAGAGGCACTGCGTTTTAGAATAGTCAAGTCTACCAACTTGTAATAATAAGATGAGATAATATTTAAATTGCCCTTTGTAATTTTACCATTTGAGGATTAGCATCTACTCCTAAGAGTCTAAAAATCTTAGTGACTGGTGAAAAAAATATGATGTAGGTAACTTTTAGTTACTTATTACAATATATTGGAACTAAATAAATATAAAAATTCTCTGAGCTGAAAGGTAAGAATAAAGTAAACTGACACAGCCGCATGAGCAATTTAACTGTCTGGGTCTATATTTGAAAGGAAGAGATTCCACAATATGCTATACCAATAATTAAGTTATTCTTAAAATGTCATTGTGGCCACAATCTATCTCCCTATGCTTCCCTCTTTTTTAACTTTGTTTCTATGAGCAACTGAACAAAGTATTCTATCAGAGGAATCAAATTATTAAGATATATCTAGGACTCTGTTGAATGGGACAAAATAATTTGAGAAATCAAATTAAATCAGTTACTAATAACACTGGAATAAGTAAAAGACATTTGGCCACTTTACTATCAAAGCATCCACGTGAAAGAATAGCTTAAAGGAAAAGATGACTCAGCTACCCACAGGCGATCATAACATAACCACACACATGCCACAATGGTTGCTCAAAGCTGCCTCTACAGACCCAGAACAGTTTTTTAGAGTGCATGCATTCAGTCCCTGCAGTAAAAATACGTCCTACCAAGAGTCACTCAGCTAATGTTTTAACAGGTGAAATCATGAATATTTCTCAATATAGTTACAATATTTCTGCAACCTAAAGGAATAATTATGTTCTTATACATTCTGAAATATTTTGTGTATTTAAAATAGCCCACAGAATATGTGGAGAACTGTAAATATAGACTACGTTTAATAGAAATTCTAAGCAGTTAACTAATAATTTAAATGTATAAATTTATCACTGATAGATCCTTTCAGTATTTATAACAATTTAAAATAATAGAACTTGGAAATCTGTAATTTAATTTTACAAATGGCATCAATACTTTTCAGAAGAATATGTCTATGGATTTATACTCATCTATTGGAGATAATCATTTTTCTTTTTTAAATTTACTTTTTCTTTCTGGGAATCACTCTAGAGTAATAATCCGAAGTAAAAAAGCATGACATGCTTCATTTATGGGATGGCTTGTCTTTCTGAATAAGCCCTTATATATGGCCAAACGCATCAGTAATCCTAAAATATAGTAAAAATGTTACAAATCATAAATTACCACACTTTCATAAACTATAACAGGTTTATTAAATGAGGCTTTAGACTCCAACATTATTAAAACAGTAGCAAAAATCCCAGAATCCTATTTCTCAACACTAGAGACAAGAGAGCTGAGGGGGTGGGGGACAGAAGAAGGATTTCACCCTGAGTGACAAGGCAAGTGATCAGGGAATCAATGGAACAGACTGAATTAAGGAGAAGTTAGTAGCCTGCTGATTTCTAAGTACTTGACCACATTATTAGAATCATTCTCTCAAAAAGAATGGATTAATTTAAAAGTAAAGTGGTACAATCTGCAAAATTATCTCATTTGCTTCACTAGGTGAAAATGATTACAAAAGGAATAGGAATGAACTCTCAAAAAACTTCACAAGAAAATTGAACTGATAACTTAACAGCTGGACTGAGAATGAAAAGTACCCTCTGAAGGGAAATCAACAGAAAGTAATAACAGATCCTTTCATCTTCCTGAAAAATGTGTGTGCAAGCAGATATATTTCTATACCTCCCACTTGCAATTAAAAGGCATCTCAAATAGTATAATTAAAAACAAATTTTGGGTATATATTGTGCAAATTCAACCAGCAGCTAGAATTTGTTCTCAAGCAATAAAGAATTGACAGTCTGTGGTGGTGTGGTTCCTGTAACACTTTTCCATAGAGAAAATAACTGAAGGTAATGAACTTCAGAACATTTTGGCACGTCAGTATGCTGGAATAGAGAATAGCTTTTCTTCTTTAGTAACAGGGTTCCTTATTTGGGGGAAACATTTCCCATCAGAAGAACCCACTTTGCAAAAAGATTAAAAAAAAAAAAGAAAAGAAAAACAGGGGAAAGCTAAAAAGAGGAGCTGGGTGAGTTCTGTTTGGGGGACAAACCAGGAGCAGAAACAGCCACTGAGACCGGTTGTGCTGACAGACATAGGAGAAAAAACTTGGTGCGTTTATTAACGTGGCACAGCAGAGTTATGAAGCTGTGTCTATAGGGTTTCGGGGGAGGTTACACACAACATTCCTGACCGCCTGTGTAAATCTAATATAAACCCTATGTGGCACATGCGCTTTTTGAGCAACTGGATTTTTTTTCGCATGAATCTGAAACATTCCCAAACATACTCCTCTTGCGCTGCTTCCTATACGTTTTTCAAAATTGAGCAGGGCAGGGGAAGAAGTGCTACCCTGTTTCCCCAAAAGTAAGACCTAGCCAGAAAATAAGCCCTCATGATTTTAGGTGCCAAAACATGGCACCTTGGCATACTGACTATTTTAAGCTGAAGGAGTTTGTGGAAAAGGCACCCTTTTCCCTGAAACAGGTCATAAAACCCTCATGCGAGGTGTGCGTGCCCTCCATATCCTGGGGGAATCATGCTAGGGCTTCTTCTTCAGCTAGGTCTTATTTTGGGGGAAAAACAGCATGTCCACTATATACAAATTGCTCTTATGAATAATTTTCCTCAAATGAAAAATAGTAAATACACATATTTCTTTTAAG